TGCCCTGAAAGATGAAATAGGAATCGGAATAAACGTTCCAGCCATCGCTATCGGATGAAACTACCAAGCTGTACCATCCCATCGCCCGGCCTCCACCACCCACCCAGCGGCCGAACACGAGCCCGCGCGGGTACCTTCATCAGAATGCGCTACAAGATTACACTCAGAAAGATGCACGCCAGGGAAAGGGTCACCGAAGCTTTTAGACTATGACGCTCTTGAGTCCATTGTATAGTTAGCGAGACATCAGCTACGACAGTGTAATCTCGCTTCCGCCATGCGACGGGGTCGTGATGTGCTTGACGAGGGGCCCATCCCAATTCGAGCATCGACACCAAGTTGTTGCAAATACTGCTGAATATGGGTTCGGCGTCATTGTCTCTCAGAGGCACTTGTCCCATGGCGATGCGCTGCACAGGCTGGCAGTCGACGACAAGCAGGAAACGTAATCCGCAACCTTCCCAATCTACAACCATATCTCCGTACTGCGTTGCGTGGGTGCCGGGGCAGCTGGGGAGGTCCGGCATGCGCTGCCTCTTCAGTGGCGGTGCTCCTGCTGGACTATCCGGCTCTCTGTCAGCGCCCTTGCAGGCTACCCCTGGGAGTCCCCATGAGCCACAGATTTGGTTTATGAAGTGGGCCAAATTGGACTTCCAAGCCGCAGCCGTGCTGAACTGGTCCAGGTACTGGCGCCACTGAGTGCCGTATACAGAACAGAAAGCATTTTCCCATCCAGCTGGATGACCGGTTGTTCGCTGGGTGGCACTGAATGTTCGTCTGAGTTTCCACAGTACTTGCCGCGCGCCGTCCCACCATTCTGATGATCTGTATCGCTGAAGTGCAAGGGCGTGTGCTTGAAAACGACGGTCGGGGAGGTGATTCTCCCGCCACGCTTGCATAAATACTGCACGGAGTACCCGGTGATGCAAAAGCTGCACGCCAAACTTTTCGCAACATGCACAGATAAGCAAAGCAGTGCGCTGGTTGTACTCCATTACCCCTTCGTCTGGTCGACGACGTAATCTTAGCACTTTCCGTAACCATTGGAACTCCCATTTCTTGATGTCTGCCAAGATGTGCTGGCTCAGATGCCACGTGCCAGCTCCGAATAAAGCAGATGATGCCGGCCCCTGTTGCCACGAGCGCAGTTTGGACGGCACACTCCCAGTTCCGTTGAATGTGCAGGAGTGTGATCTGTAACACCCTTCGGCTTTGAGTGATCTATGGTCCAAGCTCCGTCGCGCAGAACCTGCGCCATCAAGCAGATTCCCCAAAACTTCAATTTCAGTCACTCTGCACATCACGACTGGGTTGACTTCATGAACGGATGTCTCTACCTCAATGGTATTTCCCCCTGGGGGCTCGATGCCACCTGCGCACAAATATTCTAAAGACGACTGCTTCCAAGTAAGTTTGTGGCGGTAGACTTGGATCGTGATCTCGGCCACCATGGTACGGAACTCGTCCACCCCTGAAGCGAATCAGAAAACATTGTCGGCCCAGACAAGGTGCGTCAATTTCGGAACGCCCTCACCAGGAGAGAAGCCGAAGCCCCTCCTTGCCCATTATGCAACCAGCGGTTCGAGAATGACCTCCAAGAACATGTTAAACTCGTCCGGCGTTTCGGCCCCACCTTGTACCTCCACGTTCAAGAGGAAACCTCTCGGATGCTCTGGCTCCCGGCTTCTCCTCCTCCTCCTCCTCCTCCTCCTCCTCCTCCTCCTCCTCCTCCTCCTCCTCCCTCTCCTTTCCTCCCTTCCTCCTCCCCCCTTGCCTCCTCCTCCTCCTCCTCCTCCTCCTCTCCTCATCATCATCATCATCATCATCATCAACCATCACAGCAACATCATCATCATCATCATCAGCAGCAGCACCATCATATCATCACATATCATCTCATCATCATCATCATCATCATCATCATCATCTATCATCATCTCATCATCATATCATCATCATCATCATCAGCATCATCATCATCATCATTCATCATCATCATCATCATCATCTTCATCAATCATCCATAATAATCATCAGAAGCAGCATCATCCATCAGCATTAGCATTATCATCATCATCAGCATCATCATCTCATCATCATCAGCATCATCATCCGCAGCATCACCATCAGCATCAGCATCAGCATCAGCATCAAGATCACATCACCATCATCACCATATCATCACATCACCATCATCATCATCATAATCATCATCATCACCAGCAGCATCATCAGCAGCATCAGGCATCATGATCATCATCATCAGTATCAGCATCATCCTCTCCTCCTCCCTTTCCTACTCCTCCTCCCTCCTTGCCCCTCCTCCTCCTCCTCTCCTCATCATCATTCATCATCATCATCATCATCATCATCATCATCATCATCATCATCATCATCCCTTTCCTTGTCCTTCTCCTCCTCCTCCCCCTCCTCCTCATCCTCATCCTCCTCCTCCTCCTCCTCCGCCTCCTCCTCCTCCGCCATTCCTTTTCCTGATGAATACTCCTCCCTGTCATACTTCGTGGCCAGTTGTTAGGGCGGACCGGGCGTTTCGCCTGATACTTCCTCACCATTTATGACTCTGAAACTTTCACATTGGCCACAGTTTCACAGATGGACAGCGGGTGGTTTTCAAACTGTGGTTATCGCCTTAGCTCGGCGCACATTCGCTTGAACGAAGTGCAAGAGTTTCACGAATTGAGGGCGGGTCGTTTTCAACATGTGGCTCTCGCCTTAGCGCGGCGCACATTCGTTCTAGACAACTGCAAGAGCTTCACGGATTGAGGGCGGTTCCTTTTCAAAGTGTGGCTCTCGCCTTAGCGCGGCGCACATTCGTTTTACAAATTTGCAAGGGTTTCACGGATGTCCCATCATCAACGTGTCAGGATTTTGCGGGTGCAGCAGTTCTGTTGGTCCGCTGTGTTGAAGTCCCAGGATTAGTGTTCTGGCACGAATCAGGACTGTCAAGACGCAACAGTCGGGTTGCTCCGTGGCGTTGGAAGCCCGAGAACATTGTGATGGCATGCTTCAAGGTCTTCAAACGGTTGTCGTCCAACGAAGCAGTTCCTTCAATGGAAACTAACCATTGTAGGGGCCTATCAAGAGGGAGCTTGGAGGGAGGGTTGATTACAACATCCTTGATGACTCTTGGGTTTACACTGGTCCTCCTCATCATCATCATCTTCCGCCTCCGCCTCCGCCTCCGCCTCCGCCTCCTCCTCCTCGTCCTCCACCTCCTCCTCCTCCTCCGCCCCCGCCTCCCCCTCCTCCTCCGCCTCCTCCTCCCCCATCCCCCTCCTCCTCCTCCTCCTCCTCCTCCTCCTCCTCCTCCTCCTCCTCCTCCTCCTCCTCCTACCCCTCCTCGTCGTGCTTCTCCTGCCCATCCATGTTCTCATCCTATTTCTGTTCCTCCTCACCCACTGCCCTCCCTCCTCTCGTCACCTCCCTCCTCTCCCTGATGATTGTCGTCGTGCCGTCCCCCTCGTGCTCCTCCTCCCTTCCTCCTACAGCGCCATCGAGCCTCACAGAGACAACAAGGACTGCCAAAAACCTCCCCCTCCTCACGCCTGACCCCTTCTCGTCCCTCATCCTCCCTCTTCCCCTGCCCCTCTCCCTCGCCGACAGGAGCATGTTACCGAGGTGCTTCGGGTAGGGCACCAGTCGTCGTGGTCGTCGTCGTCGTCGCGGTCGTCATTGGCCCTTCCTCCTCCACCGCCAAGCACCCAAAGGATAGAATTAAATAATAACAGAAGGCCCATCAACAGAAACTTTAGGAGGTTCGCGCGGCTTCATTAGATCGGCGCCAGAAGGGGGATCCAGCACCGATCCTAAATATCCGCGCGGACCCCCGGAAACTTATGCTTATGCAGCGTGTCTTCTTCGACCGATCTGTTCCATCTGGGCGTTTTTCCCTGACGCCAGCCTCTGGGAGCCGTTGTCGAACCCCAGGGCCATCATCGGCGGCGAGCCCGGGGGGAGTGAGAAGGGGCGGGCCTTCTCGGAAGGCTCGGAAGTCTCCTGGCCTTCTGAGAAGTTTTCTGAGAAGTCCCGCCGCCGTCTGAGAAGGCCTTCTCCTCCTCACTTCCCCCCTCGCTCGCCGCCGACATCAGAAATGAATATGGGACGATAGCTACCCCAGGGGACTGGTCGAGGGGCCTGGGGCCACAAACTGAAGGAGCACACATCGTCGGATGCATTGGTCACCCGTCATCCTCGTCGCCGCCGTCGAGGCGTCCTCGTCGAGATGACGATCTCTTTCATCACTCTGGGTGGGTCCTCGGGGCAGCTGACAAGGAGGGGCCAGCGGCCGCCCTCTCTTGGCCGCCCCAGTCGGGCCGAAAAAAGCGCCGCGCGCCGATCCGCGCAGCGGTGCCCAGCCTCGGAGGCCAGCCAGTCGACAGAGGGCGACATGCTCAGAAGGCACCCTCCCTGTGCACCTCCGCCACTCGGCGGCGCGCCGAGGGGGCAGTGAGAAGTGGCAGGCCTTCTCAGAGAGCGGCGGGGCTGATCAGCAGCCCCCTGGCCCTCTGGGGAGCCCTCGGCGTCTTCGGAGCAGGCTTCAGAAGGCCCGCGCCCCCGCCCGCTGCCGTACCCCCTGGGCGCGCCGCCGAGCCATACTGGCCAGGCCCACACTGGGCCCGGGCACGGTGCACACGCTCCTCTGGCCGCGGCCAGGAAGGTCGGCACACCCTGCTGGCGCCCAGGACGGGCCTCGCCACGCGCGGCGGTGGTGCACGGGTGCCTTCCGCGGGCGATACACCCCCACGGACGCCCCGCCGCGTACTCGCGCGTTGCGCGGCAGCCGGCCGCCTCCAAGCAGAGCTCAGGATCCCACCAGCCTGCGGCACCGCCTGGCTCGCGGGATCGTGCTGGGAGCGTTGGGCGAGGGAAGGAAGAGGGAGCACTGGCTGGACGGACTGCCACCACAGCTGGCGGCACGCATCGACCGAACGGCGGCGGGGAGGGAGCGAATCGAGTGACAACGAACCGTCCAGGGGCGCTCAGTGCTTCCCCTGGCTGCCGTCCGACAGCACGCCAGTCTCCCCCTTGAGCATGCGCAGGGAGCAGTAGACGACGTTCGGGACGTTGAACCCGAACTTGTCGAGGCAGGTGCCGCCAGGGGCGGAGGCGCCGAAGCAGTTGATGCCGATGTGGCCCGTGGCCCACTCCTCCCAGCCCATGGTGCAGGCGGCCTCGACGCTGAGGGTCGGGACGCCCTTCGGGAGCACGGAGTCCTTGTAGGATGCCGGCTGCGCCCGGAAGAGCTCCCAGGACGGCATGGACACGACCCGGATCTTCTTGTGGCTCATCTCCTTCGCGGCCTCCATGCACAGGCCCACCTCGGAGCCTGTGCCCACGAGAATGAGCTCTGGGTCCGCCGGATCGACCACGGTGTAGGCGCCCTTCTCGACGTTCTCGATGGACGAATTGGGGAGGTTGGGCACCGCCTGCCGCGTCAGCGCCAGGAAGGTCGGCATGGACTCCAGCTTCGACTTCTCGAACGCGATCTTGTAGGCGCCCGACGTCTCGTTGCCGTCGGCCGGGCGGATGACGGTCAGGTCAGGGATCATGCGCAGCGACGGGATGGTCTCGATGGCTGGGGGTCGGGCCGTCCTCCCCCACGGCGATGGAGTCGTTGGGTGGTGAACGAAGATGGTGCGGGGCTGCGCGAGGGCCGGCCAGGGAGCGGATGGCGTCGTGCGCATACACGTCGCTGAAGATGGTGAAGGGCGCAGTACGGGACCAGGCCGGTCTTGTGCAGGGATATGGCGTTGCAGACGGCGCCCATGCCGAACTCGCGGATCCCGAAGCGCATGTTGCGGCCCTCGTAGGAGTCCTTGCGGAAGTCGCCCGTGCACTTCATCAGGGTCATGTTGGACGGCGCGAGGTCGGCCGAGCCGCCGATGAGATCGGGGAGCGTGCTGGCGAGGGCGTTGAGGCAGTCCTGCGACCACAGGCGGGTGGCCTGGGCGTGTCCGCCCTCTTGTGCTTAGGGCAGGCAGTCCGCAGCCCCCCAGCCCTCCGGCAGCGTCTTGTCCATGCAGACACGCGCTGGAAAGCCTGGCCAGCTCGGGGCTCCCTTCCTGGTACTCGGCCCACACCTTGTCCATGCATCCTGCTTCTTGGCGCCCTCGGCCCCGTGGGCCCTTGAAGGACGTCGTCACGACCGCTGTCCGGGATCTCAAAAACTCCCTCGTACTTCCACCGAGCTGCGGGGGTGGGCGGTGGGCCTGTCCCGCGCCTAGCGCGCACCCGTGCCGTCGTGGCTGTCGGCCTTGTTCGGCGAGCCGTACCCGATTACCGTCTTGACCTTGATCAGGGTGGGCTTGTCGGTGCACGCCTTGGCATCCGCGATGGCCTTGCGGAGGGCAGCCACGTCGGTGTTGCCATCCTCAACCGTCAGCACCTGCCATCCGTACGCCTCGTAGCGCATGCCCACATCCTCGGTGAAGGAGAGCTCCGTGTGGCCGTCGATGGTGATCCCGTTGTCGTCGTAGAAGACGATGAGCTTGCCGAGGCCGAGATGGCCAGCATATGCGCAGGACTCGTGGGAGATCCCCTCCTGGCAGCAGCCGTCACCCATGATGCAGTACGTGTAGTGGTCGATCAGGGGCAAGCCCGGCTTGTTGTAGACGGCGGCGTTGTGCGCCTCGGCAGCCGCGAGGCCCACAGCGTTGGATACACCCATGCCGAGCGGGCCCGTGGTGACCTCGATGCCCGCAGTCTCGAAGTTCTCGGGGTGGCCCTGGCGTCTTGGAGCCCACTGGCGGGAACTGCTTTCAAGGTCCGTCCATGTGACCGCTGTCTGTAGCCTGTGAGTGAGGCTGCAGCACCGAGTACTGGAGCATGCAGCCGTGGCCGCGAGGAAGAGGACGAAGCGGTTCACTGTTCACCCACGCGGGGGTCCTTGGGGTTTGCTGGGGTCATCTCCTCACGCGAAGAGGACGTAGCCGATGGGAGCCTGGCCCATGGGCGCCGCCTGGGTGGCACTGTTGGGAATTTTTTTTTTGTTGGACCCCCGTCCACGGGCCAGGAAGCGCGACTCGCGGTGACGCAACGGTCCCACCTCCGTGCTCACGGCCGTGGCGGCGGCTGACCGTGTCGCCCCTCGCGCGCGGCGCGAGCCGCCCGCCAACGGCGGCTGCCGCCAGCAGCGCGCGCACCCGCCGTCGCCGGCAGCCCAGGACGGGCTGGAGCCCGGGCGCGCCTGCGCCCCCGCGCCCCGCATGCGCCCCCGCGGCCGCGGCCGGCGCGCGCGCCGCAGCCGGCCGCGCCGCGGGGCCCACGAAGCAGGCCAGGCCGCCGAGCGCGGCGGCGCCCGCGGCCGGCAGCAACACCGGCTTGCGGCCGCCCGAGAGCTTCGACATGGCCGGCATCGCGGGCGCAGGCCGGGACTTGGTGAGGAGGGCTAAAAGAATAATAAGGCTTGGGCCAAAAGTGGCTGCGGTGAGGGGGGGACAGGGGGGGGGGCGAGGAGGAGGCAATGACCCCCGCCTGCACAGGGGGCGCGTGGGCCATCTAACTGTTCCCCTCCCCCTCCCCTGGGGTCCAAAATCCCGTGAGACGTGGTGAGAGGACCCTGGGAACTCGCCAGCAGTTCAACTGGAGCTCGTTGATGCTCCAAATATATCCTCCGTCTCCTCCAACATGTCCAAGATGCCTTCCAAGACGGCTCAGGACGGGCTCCAACACTCCGTGGAGAGGCCTCAAGAACACAAAGGATGGCCTCAAAACGGCCCGAGAGTCTCCCGAGACGCCCCTTGAGGACTCCACGAGGACGCTCAGGAGGGCCTCAAGAAGCGAAAACGATGGATTCCCCCCTCGGATTTTCGACAGATGTTCACGGTCTCGCCTTCTCGGGCTCTGAAGGCCCACAGACAACCGGAGGGGTCCCCATGACTGGCCCCAGACGGCCCATGGGGCCTCTAAGACATTCCAAAGACGTCCCAAGAGGGCCCCGAGACGACCCAAAAGGCCCCCAAGAAGACCCCAATGAGGGTCCCAGAAGAAACCCAAGAGGCGGAACTCCAAGGGACCTCAGACCGATGGTCCCCAAGAACCCAACGTGCCCCTTCGAGGACCCAAAATGCCCACAAGAAGCCCCAACAGTGACCCACAAGGCCCACAAGAGCCTCCAACATGCTCCAGGAGGCTCCCCCTGAGACCTGCAAAAGCCACACAGAAGCCACACACAGACCCCAGAAGACTGCCAGATTGCCTCCTCCTCCTCCTCCTTCTCCTCCTCCTCCTCCTCCTCCACCTCCTTTTCCTCCTTTCCTCTCCGTTCCTCCGTCCTCCTCCTACTCCCCGCCTTTCCACTCCCCCCTCCTCTACATCCTCCTCCCTCCTCCTCCCTTTTCCTCCTCCTCCTCCTCCTCCTACTCCTCCTCCTCCTCCTTCCTCCTCCTCCTCCTCCCCTCCTCCTCCTCCTCCTCCTTCCTCCTCCTCCTTTCCCCTCCCTCCCCTCCTCCTTCCTCCTCCTCCTCCTCCTCCTCCTCCTCCTCCTCCTCCTCCCCCTTCGTACCTGGCAAACGTGTTCAAACCCTGCTCCTGCGTGCCCGTCACAGCCGCGAGACCCAAAAAACCTGGCCCGGAGCCGCCCAAGAAGGCCCCTACATGATTTTCGTCACATCGCTCGCTAGCGGAAGCCGACGGGAGTAAAATGAGGCGGAAGACGGCGGAAGGCCGTTGGAAGGCCTGCGGAAGACAGCGGAAGTACATGACGCCCTGTCCGAACCCCCCTACCCCCCGCAGAAGCCTAGCAATGTAGTCTTCTGCCGTGGGCCGGGCGGGATCCCGCCTAACTTACTCCCCTTTTAATGTTATAATGTTAGCTCAGCCAGATAAAAATCCCACTTCAGATGAACAAATATCCCGGGTGGTTCACGGATCCCGCCGTGCTGGGATCGGCTCGAAGTGAGATCGGGCTCCGAAGTTGCAGCGTTCCTGCCATGTCAGGGTCGTCTTGAGGTCATCTTGAGATCATATCTCGGTCATGCTTGGATCGCGCAGCCGTCGCGTGTTCATGCAGGGGCCATCCTGGGCGCTCGTGGATCCATCTTGTTGCCATCGGGCCATCTCAGCGTCGCTCGTGGCTCATGTGTTTGGTCATCTTCGAGTCCGCCTGCGACGGTCCAGAATCCATGGCGGGATCGTGTTGGGGTGGCGTCACCCCGGGTCGTCTGGACGTTATCGTCTGTGGCCTCAGGCCCTCCTCGAACCGTTTTGCGGACATGGGGACGTATTGGGATCGCGCACGCGCGAGCGCTGAGCACGCGTGCGCGACAATTCATCTCGCCGACGGGCGCACATACATCTACTTGTTGTTGCGGGTGTCCATAAAACTTTTGTTGGATCCTAGTAGAGAGGCTCTGAAGAGAAAGAGAGAGAGAGAGCAACAACGACAACAACAACAACAACAACAACAACAACAACAACAACCACAACAACAACAACAACAACAGCAGCAACAACAACAACAACAACAACAACAACAACAACAACAACAACAACAACAACAACAACAACAACAACAACAAAAAACAACAACAACAACAACAACAACAACAACAACAACAACAACAACAACAACAACAACAATTACTAGCACGTGGGGACACTCCGTTCTCACCAGTGCCAGGGTTTTCATAGGAGGCGGGCAATACCCCCACTTTGTGGGGGGGCCGGTTCAAGCTCTACCAAATTTCCAAACGACTCTTCGCCACCACCCACACCCAGCTTCCCGCCCTATGACGTTCGGACACTTCACTTCGTGGCATGCGGACGACCGTGGCTACTATTCAGGGCCCCGCGGCCGACGACGACGGCGTGCGCGCGCGAAGAAAAAACGAATGTGTCCCGCATGGTATTATTTGACAGGGATGATGGCCCTGGCAGGTGCGCAACCGTTGTTGCAGAAGTTCGAAAAAGTTGCTCGCAAAAGCCCGTTTGACAGAAATGATTAAAAAGTGTTGGGTTTCCTACGAATCCGCAAGAGCGCGCGGGATGAAATTTTGACAATTTTTTTTGAAAAACCATTGGTTGTTTGATGTTTTTATGTTAAAATCGCTACGAAAACTAAGGTTTTGGAAGGATTTCGTCTTGCGCGCGCGAATGTCCACTTTACCTTATTTTTTGCAAGGGATTCTTGAAGTTTGGTTATGTTAGAACAAGAAATGTCCACTTTATTATTTTTTGCAAGGGAAAACCGATCGTAACAACACAACCGGATCCGGACTCCCCCGTTTTGCCTGAGACTTCCTCACGAAAATGATGAAAATGAGGCTGCGGCCTAGGCGCGGCGGGGGGGTCGTGCACCAGGGGTCCCAACAATAATTATTCTTAAGAAGAAATAATGTTCAACAACAACAACAACAACAACAACAACAACAACAACAACAACAACAACAGCAGCAGCAGCAGCAGCAGCAACAACAACAACAACAGCAACAACAGCAACAACAACAGCAACAGCAACAGCAACAGCAACAGCAACAACAACAACAGCAGCAGCAACAACAGCAACAACAACAGCAACAACAACAAAACTACGAACTTCCCCTGGCTGCCTCTCCCCAAATGATGGCCGCCCAGACCTCCAACATGCCCCCAAGGTGTCTCCCGAGACGCCACCCTGGTACGAGCCACGCCGGGCCCCGACCCAAAGGGAAACGAAGCCACTACAGCCCCAGCCTCATCCTTCTTCTCGGAGTCGGCAGAATGGCGCAAGCCTCTTGAAGAAATCGTAGGACAGAGTTGCTGCGGTGAGGGGAACGGGGGGTAGGAGGAACGGGAAGGAGCAGAGGGAGGAGAAGGAGGAGGCGATGTGGATGCGCCCTGCTCAAGAGGACGGTGCACAGCCAGGCGCCCTCGAGGGGGTCCGCCTGTAAAACGTGCCCACTCTACTGATTCTAAACGTAAAAACTGGCCGCCCGCATCTGCCTGAGCAGGCTCGACGTTCGGGCACCCTTCGGCGAGGCCCCAGAGGGGACAGCAACGGGGGGGGATGCAGCCGCCGCACGACAAAAGGATGCAAGGCAGGGGCTTGGGCGTCCAAGTTGCAACCCGCCGCAGGGGGATCCTCTGGGGTTGGCCACCGAAATCGGCTAAAGGTGGGGCAAAGGTGCGAGAGTGCCGTTTGAAAGCCACCGAGTCCCCACCGTGCGTGGCGACTGCAGGGCCTCAGAACTCCCCCACGGCGAAGGAAGCCCTCCGAGCGTGCGTCCACCAGGGGCTCTGAGGACAGCCCCGGGAGGTCCTCAGGCCCCGTTCTCCCTCAGTGCTGGCTCCCCCTGGGCCCGGATGAGCATGGGATGACAGATCCCAGGGAGGAAGACGACTGCGGAAGGCCTCTCAGCAGGCCTTCGAAAAAGTGGGAGTGGATGAGGGCCACGATGTCCATGCACCACCAGCGATTACCCCCCCCCCTCTCCTCCCCCATGTGCCCTCCTCGGCCCCTCGCGTGCCTGGGACGGGGGTGGGGGGACGAGGGAGGCACTGGTGGTGTGCGTCGTCGGGCACCGAAGGGCGCGCTCAGTGCTTCCCCTGGCTGCCGTCCGACAGCACGCCAGTCTCCCCCTTGAGCATGCGCAGGGAGCAGTAGACGACGTTCGGGACGTTGAACCCGAACTTGTCGAGGCAGGTGCCGCCAGGGGCGGAGGCGCCGAAGCAGTTGATGCCGATGTGGCCCGTGGCCCACTCCTCCCAGCCCATGGTGCAGGCGGCCTCGACGCTGAGGGTCGGGACGCCCTTCGGGAGCACGGAGTCCTTGTAGGATGCCGGCTGCGCCCGGAAGAGCTCCCAGGACGGCATGGACACGACCCGGATCTTCTTGTGGCTCATCTCCTTCGCGGCCTCCATGCACAGGCCCACCTCGGAGCCTGTGCCCACGAGAATGAGCTCTGGGTCCGCCGGATCGACCACGGTGTAGGCGCCCTTCTCGACGTTCTCGATGGACGAATTGGGGAGGTTGGGCACCGCCTGCCGCGTCAGCGCCAGGAAGGTCGGCATGGACTCCAGCTTCGACTTCTCGAACGCGATCTTGTAGGCGCCCGACGTCTCGTTGCCGTCGGCCGGGCGGATGACGGTCAGGTCAGGGATCATGCGCAGCGACGGGATGGTCTCGATGGGCTGGTGGGTCGGGCCGTCCTCCCCCACGGCGATGGAGTCGTGGGTGGTGACGAAGATGGTGCCGGCCTGCGCGAGGGCCGCCAGGCGGATGGCGTTGCGCATGTAGTCGCTGAAGATGGTGAAGGTGGCGCAGTACGGGACCAGGCCGGTCTTGTGCAGGGATATGGCGTTGCAGACGGCGCCCATGCCGAACTCGCGGATCCCGAAGCGCATGTTGCGGCCCTCGTAGGAGTCCTTGAGGAAGTCGCCCGTGCACTTCATCAGGGTCATGTTGGACGGCGCGAGGTCGGCCGAGCCGCCGATGAGATCGGGGAGCGTGCTGGCGAGGGCGTTGAGGCAGTCCTGCGACCACAGGCGGGTGGCCTTGGCGTTGTCGCCCTCTGCGACCTTGGGCAGGCAGTCCGCCCAGCCCTCCGGCAGCGTCTTGTCCATGCAGACGCGCTGGAACTGCTTGGCCAGCTCGGGCTCCTTCTCCTGGTACTCGGCCCACACCTTGTTCCATGCCTCCTGCTTCTTGGCGCCCTCGGCCCCGTGGGCCTTGAAGACGTCGTAGACGCTGTCCGGGATCTCAAACTCCCCGTACTTCCACCCGAGCTGCGCGCGGGTGGCGGTGGCCTCGTCCGCGCCGAGCGGCGCCCCGTGCGCGTCGTGGCTGTCCGCCTTGTTCGGGGAGCCGTAGCCGATGATGGTCTTGACCTTGATCAGGGTCGGCTTGTCGGTGCAGGCCTTGGCATCCGCGATGGCCTTGCGGATGGCGTCCACGTCAGTGTTCCCGTCCTCGACCGTCAGCACCTGCCAGCCGTAGGCCTCGTAACGCTTGCCCACGTCCTCGGTGAAGGAGAGCTCGGTGTGGCCGTCGATGGTGATGCCGTTGTCGTCGTAGAAGACGATCAGCTTGCCGAGGCCGAGGTGGCCGGCGTAAGCGCAGGACTCGTGGGAGATGCCCTCCTGGCAGCAGCCATCGCCCATGATGCAGTATGTGTAGTGGTCGATGAGGTCCAGCCCCGGCTTGTTGTAGACAGACGCCAGGTGGCGCTCCGCTGCCGCGAGGCCCACCGCGTTGGAGACGCCCATGCCGAGAGGGCCCGTGGTCACCTCGATGCCGGCCGTCTCGAAGTTCTCCGGGTGCCCTGGCGTCTTGGAGCCCCACTGGCGGAACTGCTTCAGGTCGTCCATGGTGACGCTGTCGTAGCCTGTGAGGTGCAGCACCGAGTACTGGAGCATGCAGCCGTGGCCGGAGGAGAGGACGAAGCGGTCCCTGTTCACCCACGCTGGGTCCTTGGGGTTGAAGTTCATCTCCTCGGCGAAGAGGACGTAGCCGATGGGAGCCTGGCCCATGGGCGCGCCTGGGTGGCCACTGTTGGACTTGTTGACCCCGTCCACGGCCAGGAAGCGGATCGCGTTGACGCAGTCGGTCTCCACCTCCGTGCTCACGGCCGTGGCGGCGGCCGCCGTGGCGCCCCTCGCGCGCCGGCGCGAGCCGCCCGCCACGGCGGCGCCCGCCAGCAGCGCGCCGCACGCCGCCGTCGCCGTCGCCGCAGACGGGCTGGAGCCTGGGCGCGCCTGCGCCCCCGCGCCCGCGTGCGCCCCCGCGGCCGCGGCCGGCGCGCGCGCCGCAGCCGGCCGCGCCGCGGGGCCCACGAAGCAGGCCAGGCCGCCGAGCGCGGCGGCGCCCGCGGCCGGCAGCAACACCGGCTTGCGGCCGCCCGAGAGCTTCGACATGGCCGGCATCGCGGGCGCAGTCCACGGGTCGGGCCGGAGTCGGCGAGGAGAACAGGTTTAAAAAGAGTAAGGCTTTAGCCAAAATGGCTGCGGTTACAAATCCAACCTCCGTCGCCTCCAAGATGCCTAAGATGCCTGCCAAGACAGCTCGGGAAAGACTCGAATGTCGCAGAGAGGCCTCCAGAACACCCACGATGGCCTCAAAACGGCCCAACAGGCTCCCAAGACACCTCTAAGGTACCCAACGAGGGCCTCAAGAAGCGAAGAAGGTTTATTTTCTTTCGTGCTTGCCAAATGTTCGCGTTGTCACCTTTTCGCGCTTTGAAAACCCAAAAACAACCCGAGAGGCCCTCCGGACCGGCCCAAGACGGTCCAAAATACCTTTCAGACAGCCCAGAGACGACCGAAGAGGGCCCCAAGAGGGCCCCAGAAGAGGCCCAGGAAGGGGAACTCGAAAGCGCTTCGAAGACACAAGATGATTCCCAAAAGCCCCAACAGAACCCCAAGGTGTCTCGGCCCGCTGGAAAACCTCGCGGGCGGGGCCCGTATGGGCCGTCGTGGGGCGATCTTGGAATCCTGCAGGGCCGTTAGAGATCCTCTGCAAACAGGAAGGGCGAGAAATTAAAAATCATAAAAGATTAACCAGGAATTGTCAAAATTGTTCGTCGGATGCCTCTGGGTCGTCCTCGTGGGACTCTCTCAAGATTTCCTGGGAACCTCGTCGACCTCCTCGGTGACGTGTTGGGCTGCCTTGGGGCCATCTTGGCCCTCTCGGACACGAATTGGGTTTCTTGAAGCCGTGTTGGAAGCCTCTTCGAAATCATCTCTTGGGTTATTTGGGGGCTCTCATGGGCTCGTTGGTAACTCTCGTGGTGTCCTTTTCGGCTGTCTGGGGGGGATCTTGGAGGCCCCGAAAGTGCGTGAAAGCTGAATTCCTCAAAGGAGTGATTTGGGAAATACGCAAATTCCGCTTCTCGGGAGCTTTCGGACAATACTCCTGGGGCTCTCGCGGGGTGGCGAGCCTAGTCGACTCTCCTGGAACTAGCTTGGGCCACCTTGGGCTTACCTTCTGCCCCGTGGAACCATCTGAAGATGTTCGGGGCCGCTCTGGAAGCCCAATGGGACTCTTTTAAACTGGTTTGGAGTTTTCCTGGTCCCACTGGAGAGCCTCGCGGGGCCGATTTCGGCCGTCGCGGGGCGATCATGAAGCGTTCTGGGCCTCCACGGATGCTCGTAAAGCCGAAAAGCGGGAATGCTAAAATCATTCCAACCTACATTAAAAAAGTATGTGTTTTGCCTGTCGGTGGCCCCTGAAACGACCTCCTGGGGCCCTCGCGGAGCTTCTGGGGAGTCTTTGTTCCCGACACCCCGAAGGCAATATTAAGGGCTTTCGGGCTCCCGCAGTCCCCAAAGGCGCGCCCTTGGAACCCCGTGCCTCGTGGGCGCCTCGTGCGCTAAGTGGGTCAAACGAGGTTTCGCGTGGTGCCCATTCGTGGGCGCCCATGGGCGCCTCGTGGGCGCCTCGCGGACGCCTCCCGCGCTGGGTGGGTCAGCCGATGTTTCGCTGTGGGCGCAATTTGCGCTGGGTGGGTCAGTCGAAATTTCGCCTGGTGCCCGCACTTGGGCGCCTCGTGGGCGCCTCACGCGCTGGGCGGCCGTATAGCTTGCACCACGTAGTTTTGACCACATAGCATGCCCCACAGAGCTTACACATAGCTCACACCACCTAGCTTACACCGTTTTATGTACACCGCATAGCTTGCACCGCACATACTGCACCACCGATCTTACACGACGCAGCTTACGCCACATAGCCTATACCTGCACGACACTGCTTACACCACACAGCTTGACCACGTAGCGTGCACCGCACAGCTTGCGTCGCATGGCTTGCACCGCATATATTAGCTTGCGCCACGTAGCTTGCACCACATAGCTTTCGCATAGCGCAACAACTGACAGTTGGGGGGCCCACGCTGGCACAGATGTGGACATATTAGCACTGTACATCTATATATATATATATATATACAGCCGGATACCACAATGTACACATACACATGCTTTAACTTGACAACGGCGCAAGCAACCCGAAGCAAGTGCAGGCGCCAGCCAAACCATGGGCGGAACGCGCTGGAAGCGAATTGGGGCACGGAGGAGCGCAACGAGAGAAAAGGGGAGGAGACGACAGAGCCGCAGGCCGTCGCGGGCGTGCCGACGAAGCGCAAGAAAGCGCCAATGCGCAGCTGCGTACCGAACAACGAGTGACCGAGGCCGGTTGACCGTGAAGTGGAAGAACTTGACAGGGTGCACGATGAACATGTGGAGTACACATGCATACACGTATACTAAGATATGTCTGTACACCTTGCTCCAGACGATACTGCAAAAACTGAATACACTCCTGCCAACCACGGGACCGTCTTTGGACGTTTTGGGGTTTTCTTGAAGCCAGTTTCGATTCGTGTGGGCCCGTCTTGGGGGCCCGTGTTGCCTCTGTAGACCCCGCCTGGGTGAGTTGGACACGATGGGGACTCTGAGACCCCGTCGTGGTGGGGCGATTCGGAGCGTTTGTGCCCCACTTCGACGGCAATGCGCGCGCTGCGGGGGCCGATCAGGGGCCCTCAAAGTTGCGGAGCAAAGGCATGCTGGATACATCGGGGCGTCTCTCGGGAAGTCTCTCGGAAGCCAGCCAGGGCCTTCGAAGAGGCGTTCAGAAGGGCTATGGAAGCCTCTTGGGAGCATTTTGAAGGCCCGCTTTGGGCCTCCAGACGGCGCCTTGGAGTGTCTGAAGGTATTTAACTCCGAACATTTTGGGGTGAGCCTGGGGCGGAAGCCTCGACATGTGAGCTCGAGTCCGCCGACCCCTTTGGTGTCTCAGGCGGGCCATTTGGGGTCTGAGGCGGGCGAAATTCCTCCCCTTTTACAGTCCCCCCCCAACCAGGTCCCAAATCGCGCGTTTAAGCGAAACTGAACCTCGGGGGGCATTTGCATAGGCGGCCCATGCTAGTTGCCAATCGCAAAGGCCAACCCCCAGAACGACCCCCGGCCGAACGGCTGGTGAGATCGCGCCTCTTTGCATAGGCGCCCAATGCAAATGGCTGCTGGAACGGGCCAACCCCGGGCGCGTTCCTGGTCCCCTGTTTCAAGGCCGTTTGCACAGGCGGCCTATGCATATTGCCGATCGAACCGGCAACCGCCCCGGACGATGGAATTGTATTCTCCTGGTTCAATGGGCTACTCCCCGGTTGGACGGGCATTCCCGGGCTCGACGGTGAGAAATTGTCTGGTTTTTTCCAAATTGGAAAGATTATTCCCCAGCTGGTGCCTCTAACGAGCCTCTAACGAGCTCCTTGAGAGCATCGGCGAGGCTTCTTGACAGCCTCTGAAACTTCTTCAGAATCTCTGAAGGAGCCCCTGGGAAGCTCCTTGGAAACCTGTGAGAAGCTTCTCGAGAGCCTCTGAGAAGTTCCTGGGGCTCTTCTAAAGGCTCCTGAGAGCCTCTGAAAGGCCTTGTCAGAACCTGTAAAAAGCCTCTTCAGAGCCCAGGCAAAACTTCTTAACAGCTTCTGATGAATCTTGGCGAATCCTGAGAAACCCTGAGGAATCTTGAGGAGCCCGAAGGAACCCTAAGAAGTCCTGGCGAATCTTGGGGAATCTCGAGGAAGCCTGAGGAATCCTTAAGGAAACTTGAGGACCCCTGAAAAATCTTCAGGAATCTTGAAGAATCCTCACGAACCCTGACGAAGCCAGAGGAACCCTGTGAAATCCGGAGCGATCCGGCCGGAAGAACCATGAAGACCTCCAAAAAAATCCCAAACATCTGGAGGAATCCGGAAGGATCCGGGCGAATCACAAGGAATACTGAGGATATGTTCGAGGAGCGCTGAAGAATCGCAATAAATCCTGAAGAACCCTTAGGAACCCCACGCCTTCGGAACCCGAAAGGACCTTGAGGAACTCCGAGGAACCCCTACAGGTTCGTCTGGAATCCTCGAGAATCCTTAGGGGTCCTAACGAGTCCCAGGGAATTCAACGAAATCCAGACAACCCTGAAAACCCAGAGCAACACTATGAGTAATCATTATACAAATAAACAGAAGAATACATAATAACAACTGATACGAATAATCAAAACATAATCGTAAGACCGATAATAGTAATACGAATCAGCATAAAAATCATAAGAATGAAGAAAATTACGAATAAAAGAAGAACAGGAAGGAGGAGAAGAATGAGAAAAAGAAGAAGAAGGAAGAAGCATAATAACAATAAAAATGAGAATACTAACAATAGCAATGGTTGTAGTCGTATTTAAACTACGAATAATACTAACATACAGTATACTAACAATAACAACAACCACAACAACAGCAGCAACAACAATAACCAAAACATGAACAAAAACAACAAAAGAAACATAACACTAAAAAGCGCTAACGGTACAGTCGGCCAATTCTGCTACAAACCAGCCGGACTTGAAGTAATCCACGCGATGCTAAGCATGCCACGCACGTGTCGCCACGCGAAGCTTGCCTTTGCGACCGAAATAAATATTGCACATTGCATGAATCAAATGGCGCAGCAAGCGGAAAAACGCAGACAGCGAGTCCTGTATCGCGTGCAGAGCTGAGGAAAGAAATATTTGCACTCGGGGTCTCATGCGGAAAACCGGCTGCCGTGCCTGCACGGGCTGGGAGCGTTCGAGTGCCCGACTGTTGCCCTGAAGCTTCCCTGAAGACCCTGGCCCACAACCCAGGAACCGTGGCAGGATGGGCCGAAGGCCACTCGATATTTGACGGTGTGGGAGCCCGCACAAAGCCTTCTCCTCGTCATCCTCATGTTCCTCCCTCTCCCCCTGTCCTCCTCCTCCTCTTTTTCGCATTCCCCTTCTCATAACATTTGTCATCCCTCTTGTCTCTCCTCCAAGTCCTCCTTCCACGGATTCGGTACGTGTAGCGCCATTGCAGAGTCCATGTCCAAAACGGTCACCCGAACGGACTTCTCTTGCAGAATTTAACGGGTCCGCGGATGTGCCGTCAGCCTGTAGATATCTAAAGACTGTCAACAGTTTGGGACCCTCTTGGAT